TGTGTTACTTTTGTGTGTGTGTTACTTTTGTGTGTGTGTTTGTGTGTGTGCATTACTTTCGTGTGTTTGTGTGTTACTTGTGTGTGTGTGTGTTACTTTCGTGTGTTTGTGTGTGTGTTACTTTTGTGTGTGTGTTACTTTTGTGTGTGTGTTTGTGTGTGTGCATTACTTTCGTGTGTTTGTGTGTTACTTGTGTGTGTGTGTGTTACTTTTGTGTGTGTGTGGTGTGTGTGTGTGTGTTACTGGTGTGTGTGTGTGTGTTACTTTTGTGTGTGTGTGTGTGTGTGTGTGTGTGTTACTTTCGTGTGTTTGTGTTACTTTTATGTGTGTGTGTGTTACTTTTGTGTGTGTGTGTGTGTGTATGTGTGTTACTTTTGTGTGTGTGTGTGTGTGTGTGTGTTACTTTTGTGTGTGTGTGTGTGTGTGTTACTTTTGTGTGTGTGTGTGTGTGTGTGTGTGGTGATCCAGCTGATAGGAACAGTAAGGAACTCATTAACCCTCCACATGGTTCACATTAACACAGCTGATGGAGACACAGACTGAATGATGGACAGCTCTCCTAAGATGCTCCAGTACAACTTCCTGTCACTGAGCCAGCTGCTGAGCTCTGACCTCTGACCCCGGCCTCTCCTTGGTTCTTCTCCTGCTATTTAACCCTCTGACAGTCAGACTGCCTCCTCTGAAGTCTGATGTTTCTGCTCACAGTCGCTGGGTGGAGAACCACGTTGTGTCCTGTGGGGTTCCTCAGGGTTCTGCACTCAGACCTCTGCTGCTTCCAGCAAACTTCCTCCATCAATCACATTTCACTTTAACCTTCCTGCAGCAGCAACATCCTGCTCAGTATTTATCTGCTGTCACGTCTCTGTCTCCACCTGAACAAAGAAACCAACACATCCTCGCTCCCAAACCCCCAACTCACATCCTGATGCTCCGTCAGTGGATCTCCACATCACACTACGATGCTCGAGGTTCCCTCCTGCGTCAGTCTCACACGTTCATGAAACGTGTCAATATACACTTGTTAACTGCATCGTCTTTTCAAAATAAACTTCAGTTTCCATAGTTTTGGTGTTGTCAGTGGTTTTAATGTGAAGGGCTGAGGATGTGTTGTGGTGTGGTCTCTAACAGATGGATCCTGAGCTCCTGATGAAGACTCTGTGATGACCTCACCCTGCAGACGGACCAGCAGCAGTCACTTGGAATCATTTATTGATAAAATCAGCTGACAGGTGTAAAAATAACAAACATCTCAAAGGAGCACTGTTAAAGGAACAGTCCAACATTTACATTCTTCATCCTCCCGCTCCTCTTCCTCTCTGACAGTCACATCTTCACATCATAGATCATATCAGTCAGTTCATTCTGCAGTACCACGAGAGGCCACTGGGGAAACCGGGCTGCAAGGCTGAGCAGCGTTCATGAGGACCTGATTCAGACTGATTCCACTCTCACATCTGTACAGCAGCTGCTTAGCTTAGCATTAGCATTAAGCAGCTGGTTAGTGTAGCTTAGCATTAAGAGTGAAAACAGGTGGAAACAGTTAGCCCAGCTGCTCTACAGCTGATCGTGTTTCCTGAAGTGTACCAACATCTCACTGGGTCACGTGTCAGACTGTTTGTTGGCCAGGTGCAAGCTAACGGTTTCCCTTTGTTTCCAATCTTTATGCTAAGCTAAGCTAAGCTAAGCAGCTGCTGACTGTAGCTTCCTGAGAGAGTGAACTCTCAAGAGGAGGAGGAGACTAAATGTTGACCTTTAAATCCTGGGCTGCAGTTCGCAGCTCAACAGTGCGGCGGCGCTACACAACAACAACAACAACAACAACAAGCTGGAGGCGTGTGATTGGCTGAAAAGTGACATCAAATAAAAGTGCTGTAAACAAGATTTGTGAAATAAAATATCTTCATGTAAACAAAGATGAAACTGTGAGAGTTCATGTGATCAGCCATGTGATCATCCGTCAGAGCTCCATGGCTGTCAGCCATCATGTGTCAGAATGCATGCTGGGAGTTAGCATTAGCATCAGGGGCCGTACACATGCTGCGTCATTAACCACCTGAGAAACGCGAGGTCGGGTGCTGGGCGCTACTCTGTGCCAACTCAAGGACGCAGCGGCAGGTTGCATCTGAATTTGCTAAGCAACCATAACCAGTGCCGTGTCACAGCGTACTGACAGGAAGTCCTGAGGTCAGAGCTGATCTACTTCCTGTCTGTCTGGGGGACAGATGTGACGCTCTGACAGCTCTGCACTAACATGATCAACTTCTCCTCCATGGGCTGTGATTGGTTGGTCCTCGTCACATGACATTAGCTGCTGCGTTCTAAAAGCTGAACTCTGTTTATCTCAGAGCCGTCACACCCTGAAAAACAGCCGCTCTGGAATCAACACCGAAAACAATGAATTTGAGGGCGTTAAATCCGCAGCATATGTACGACTATTTTAGCAGCATGTTTGGGTTGTAGCTGCAGAAATAAACAGGAAGTGATGTCAGGACTTCAGTTCTGTATCCACGTTGTTCTGAGCCTTCATGATACCTTGTGTGAATTATAGGCGTGACCTCTGGCGCAGAAATGGGACCAGTGTTTTCCAGTTTGGCTAACAGTACTCTGATCCTTCTTCCCGCAACAAAATAAACAAAACGTGCTAATTTAACATTAATTAAATATCTGAAACAAACCAATTAAACTGAAGAAAAGATAATTTCCAGTTAGCTGTTAGCTGTTAGCCACTGTGATGACCAGCTGGGACTCACCACAGACAGTCAGCAGGACTAACGAGCTTCCTGTCTCACCTGAGGATACACCCATAATCACCTGTACTCTCAAGAATAAGGTGGAGACACCACTCCGCCCCTCTGGCTCCGGGTTACCATGGAGACCAGTCAGCAAACAGTAAAACAACAGGAAGAGATGGCGTGTCAGGGTGGTGAGGGGGGGCGTACAAAGTGAAGGTTCCTTCAGTTATAAAGATTGTGCACAGATAGGAAGTCACCTTTGGCGTTCATGATTAAAAACAATAAATAGTGTCTGATATAAAACCCATCTGTCAGATCGTTGTGCGAGGCGTCACAGAGCGCAGGTGATCAGACTGTTCCAGATCACAGCTCTATCCAGGAGCCCACACCTGAGCCCAGAGACGCCCGAGACACCGGCCTGGAGCTGGGTGGCCTCCTGCCCACGCTGAGTCCATCCTCTCGGGGCTCAGCGGCCTCTCCGCTGGCCCGGCTGACAAACACCATTGGGGGCTGGGTGGAGGCCATCTCAAACCTCAGCTCCGCAGCGTTCTTATTGGGGCGGGAGGAGGCGGCCTTCCTCTTAGTCCTGGGCTGGGGGGAGGGGAGGGGGAACGCTGGGACGACTCTGTGCGAGGACGTGGAGGCATCTCCAGTGGCAGCAGAGGACGAAGAGCCCAGTTTGGCCAACGCCACCGGGATCTCCTCCAGAGACTCGGCAGAGTCCGAGTGATATTCAGCAGGAGGGGCGGCGGCCTGGACGGGGCCCGTGGTGGGGGCCAGGGGGGGCAGGGAGGCCCTCAGAGGGAACGCTGGGAAGGGAAGGCGCTGACCCAGGGACACAGTGGACACACCGCCAGGCTCTGCTGGAGAACGACACACAACATATGAACCATACACGCTTTCACTCATTCTGGAGAACTTTGTTTTGATGAACTTCCTGATTTTAGTATTCGAGGACCAAAAGTAAAATTAAAATGTGTATTTACAAAAAATAATAATGTTTATAATAATAAATTGATTCCTAACATCCGTACAAAAATACAATATCACCATGTCAAATATCGGCACACTATGCTGTATCGATTTTCCCCACACATAGTGTAAATGACAGATGTCATCAGCAGTGAGCCAGTGTCCAGCTGAAGCTCACTGATGCTGTCACCAAAGTCTTCTTCACTTCCCTGGAGCCACTGAGCGTGAGCAGAGAGTCGACAGGAGCGGCAGGACTCCGTAACTCAAAGTGTTTAAGTTTGCCAGACTAACTTCTAAAAACATTACAGCCACAAAAATACAGCTGCTAATTATATCAACGCTCTACGTCGTAACTGCTGTGACTAAAGCAACAAACTAATATTTGGAAATGAAACCACGGCTCAGTGTATTTCCTGGAGATGATTCTCACCTGGAGGAGCTGTGACAGGTGTACTGATGTGTTTCTGAGGGGCAGATCAGGGTCGGGCCTCAGACCAACTGTCCTGCTTTGCTTTTTACTTTTTCTCTAACTGGGAGTGTTGGTAGTAGGACTGCAGTGATGTACTGGTTTTAAAGTGCACTGTATTATAAAAGCTGACAGTTATTACTCAGTATACATTTGTTATCTACAACACTGAAAAACAAAAAGTCCAACTGGACGTTTCTTCTCTCCTTTGACTTATTTTCTATGAGGAAACTTTTTAAACATTTTCACTGACTAAATGTTTCATGTTTCAGTTTTAGTAATAAAACATTTGTTGAACCAACATTAACTTTTCTGTTTTCATTCCTTTAACATGATCAAACATTTTCCTCCAAAATCATCAGGAGCTGCTGATCAATCATCATGTTGATCAATTTAAACTTTGTGTGTGTGTGTGTGTGTGTGTGTGTGTGTGTACCAGGGGGCGGAGCTGTACTCGGGCAGCGCTCTCTAGTGACCTCTGCTGGAACTTTACGAACCTTCTTCTTTTTCTGTCAAAACACAAAAACACACTCACCATCCAATATATCTTAGAGAGCTCATAGTGCCATATTATCCCACCAGAACACTGCGCTCTGAGAACGCAGGGTTACTCGTGGTCCCTAAAGTCTCCAAAAGTAGATCAGGAGCCAGAGCCTTCAGCTATCAGGCTCCTCTCCTGTGGAATCATCTTCCTGTTACGGTCCGGGAGGCAGACACCGTCTCCACATTTAAGACTAGACTTAAGACTTTCCTCTTTGATAAAGCTTATA